TAATGATTTGTATATGTTGAACCATCCCTGCATCCCTGGGATGAAACTGACTTGATAATGGTGTATGATCTTTCTGATATGCTCTTGAATTTGGTTTGCCAATATATTATTGAGGATTTTTGCATCTCAGTTCATTAAAGAGATTGGCCTGTAATTCTTTTTTTTGTGTGTCTTTGTCAGGTTTTGGGATGAGTGTAATACTGGCTTCATAGAATGAGTTTGGCAGTGTTCCTTCCCTTTCTATTTTGTAGAAAAGTCTGAGGAGTGTTGTATTAGTTCTTCTTTAAAGGTCTGGTAGAATTCAGGAGTGAGTCTCAAAAAGTTACAAGAAAGACTTTGAAAGTCTTACAACAAAGAAATGATAAATGCTTGAGGAAAGATGTGTCTAGCCTGATTTGAACATTACACAAGATACATATATAAAAAAAATCACATTACCCCATTAATATAGACAAATTTTATACTTTTACGTGCCAATTAAAATAAATTTAATTTTTTAAAGTTACTAGACTCAGTGATATGTTGGGTGACTTTTAATGTTTTAACTGATCTTTACCAACATTATTTTGATTTATCTAAGAAGAGCTGCATTATTCATGTAAGTTAAAGTAAATAAATATACATGTTAAAAATAAAACCCCAGCAATTTTCACTGGGGCGTAGCTAAGATTTTTAATGGAAATTCTGAAGACAAGATGATTTCTAGATAGCAATTTTGATGCTAATAAGAAAACAAAAACTCTACTGTGAAAGAAAGCTTTAATTTCTGAGAGCTGACTCTTCATTAAAGAGATGTGTGGACTGAAATTACATGGCGCCTTGTCATCCCTGTCCTCTCTGGGCCCCGTGCAGACTGGGTAGCAGACCACTCTTTCCCCTCCTGGGTTGCTCCAGAACTTTCATTTCTAATTCTCAGATTCCATCTACTTTTCCTACCAGAACTGGCAAAGAGCAACATGTTATTAGCTGCTATGACAAACAGTGAATAATCAAAGTTCATTTTCAGACATGTGTTAACCAAAACTGACTTCGTAATCAAGAGCCTCAGTTTTTCAGTAAGATGGTCCACATCACTCCAGTACTGTTTTATTTCATGGACTCCTTCATTAGCTTGTTTGGGACCAAGATAATCATAGAAGGGTTAGTCAGCTTTCTATCACTACAACAAAATACCTGAGAAAATCAGCTTATGAAGAGAAAAGGTTTATTCTGCCTCACAGTTTTAGAGGTTCCAATCTATGATAAATTGACCTCATGCTTTGAGCCTGTGGGAAGACAGGACATCATGGCTGGGGCACATGGCAGAACAAAACCAGCCCATCACCAGGAAGCAAAAAATTAAAATGAACAAAAGAAAGAGGAACAAATAGGACTTCACAATTCCCTCTGAGGGCATGTCCCAATGACCCAAGGACCTCATACCCACTTGGTACTACCTCTCTCAAAGTTTCCACCTCCTCCCAACAGCATCACCCTGGGGACCAAAGCTTTAACACATGGGTTTGGGGAGATACTGCAGAACAAAATGATAATGAAAACGATAATCTCTGCTCTCTGTAAATCATTACACTTACTTCTCAACATCATCCAGACAGGATACGCCACCAGATACCTGAACTCCTGGGCAAAGGAATTTGATATCCCAAAGTACAGCCTTCATACTCAGGCGAAACTGGGCTTAGGATTTACTATTTGATTTTAAATACAGGTTGAGTATTCCTTATCTGAAATGCATGGGGTCAGAAGTACTTTGAATTTTTCAAATTCTGTAATATTTGCATATGTATAACGAAATACATGGGGGATAGGACCTAAGTCTAAACACAAAGTCCATTTATGTTTCAGATCACCTCAAACATACAACCTGAAGGAAATTTTGTACAATGTTTTAAGTAGTTTTGTGCATGAAACAAAGGCTCATAGCATGAATTTTCCACTTGTGGTACCATGATGGCACTAAAAAAAGTTTTGGATTTCAGACTTTGGGGTTAGAGTTGCTCAACCTGTACAGGTTTCCTGAAAAAGGCCACATTTCACTTCTACCATGTGCTGTCATGTGGTACTGAAATCCTTCAAGGACTTTCAGGGACTTGTGTGATGGAAAGAACCAAAGGGCAAGGAAGGTACAGTGCTGATGGCCAGGGGTGGCTCTACTCTCCTTGCCGGAAACATCTGACCAGATTTTGGTGTGGCATACATTTTCTATTTTAAAATAACTGCCTTGCTCCAGAATGAGTTAAAAACCTGAATGTTAGTCTCACCTTTTAATAAGAGAGCTGATAAGCACACAAGAACTATGTATTTCATAAGAACATTAACCCGAAAATGTCTTCACTGTTAAAGCCTGCCTGTGCCTAAGTTACAATGACAGAGTTTCGTTTTTTTAACACTTCTGAGATTTCTGAGAAGGCCAAGTTCAACTTTTGACTGTCTGTTTTATTTTCTTCACCAGCAACTGGAAAGTGTAACCTTTCCAAATACTCAGTGATTCATATTTAATTCATTTTTCCTGTCTGGGAACCAGGACGTGTTTCTGTGCAAATGCTCAAGTAGTCCATGTTTCATTTTTTAACAAAATGTTACATTTCTTTCTCTACTACTTTGTATGCATGGTGCACTTAGTAATTGGTTGACTGAATAATGATGTTTTTAAGACACAGCCTGGTGATAGGGAAGAATTCACACACTTCTAAACACAGTATTACTTTCTTCGAAAACAAAACAATGGATGTCAGTTGGTGCACATTCTTGGGTTGGTTGTTTGGTTCAGAGAAGTACATTTGATTATTATAACTTACCTACATTATATACAGTTTTATGTATGAATGAAATATTTTAAAACAAAGAAAAAATGAAATGGTGGATTACCTGCCGTCCACTATTGCTTTTGCAGTCTAGGTCATGAAGATGTGCTAGTCTCCTGGCAGGAGTGACTTGGGCAGACTTAGGGCTGGCAGGGGCAGTTCCTTTGTCTTTGAGCCCAGCCAGGGTCACAGTTCTTACTTTTCATTTCCCCTAGAAAAAGCACTGGCGGGAGGTAAGCCAGGAGGCAGGCAGGGCAGACTGGCCACTCTGGGTACTACAGAGACGCATGAGCTGCACTGGGTCGGGGTGGAATTAGGAACAGCTCTCTGCCAGAGGCTGAGCTCATGCTGTTATACATGTACCCCAGACCTTATGCCTAACGCATTCATGCTTTAAAAAAATCTCAGCCCAACCAAAGTGGATTGAAGAACAGAATTTTCAATAATATTTCTGCCCCCCATGGGAGTTTATGCTGACCTATAAAAAAGAAAGGAGAGAAGAAAAACCCTCACAACTCTGTACACATAACACATATTAGTCAGCCTTTCTTAACTGCTTTGTGGTGGAAGACTGGCATTAAATATAGACATTGGAAGTATTTAAATAAAAAATTATCTGGCATCTCACACTGGAGTCAAATTTTACATTGACATTTCCTGCAAGGGCAAATGGGAGGAAGAAAGCCCAAAGCTCTTGGCATATATTTAAAACAGCATGGCCTGAGAGCAGTGACTGGCAATGGAACAATCATTATTCTGCAATTTCCACACAATAAATTGGGCAAAATCACCGCAATTTGGTATAAATGTTCCTTTCAGGTATATTTCTCAGAGTAGGCATTATATTTTATTCTAATGTTCTCTTCCCTTTTCGCCTCCAACTTTGCTGCATCCTAGAATTTTTATATAAAAGGAGTCTATAATAATCATTATTATTTATTGTAGATTTATCAAGGTTGCATGCTTGATAAATTGCTTAATACTGTAAGTAATAAAACACAAATAAAATGAAGAAGCAAAATAGATAAAAGGTAAATCATGCCATCTTTTAAAAAGACACAGTTGAGCATTGGTGAAAGTCTTCTAACATATGTCTGTCGTTACATGAAACCCGGTGACCAGGCGCTATCCTTAACACTAAAGTTCTATTTTAAAAAACAAGGAGAAACTGAGTCATTTGTATGTTCTTGGCAGGAATGCTTAGTGGTTTCTTGGCAAGGCAAAGCTCTACTATTCTGTGTTTTCAAGTTGGGAGTGCCCTCTACTGCCCAAAACCATGGCTTCAGTCTTGTTTATCAGGAAGCTCTGCGTCATATATGCCACAATGAAAATAGCCTTTTTACTTATCTGCAGGTGTACAGCTTAGCAATCACTTAATGACATGAAGACCTGGAAGTTTAATTTTCAATAAATCACACTACCCTAAGGGGAGTTCTCTACCACAAGAAACTCTATTAAAATGAGCTTCTACTATCTTTCCCTCACAGAGATATCATGAGAGCTGCAAGATTCCCAGCCCTTGTTCTGGCTTTCCTCAATTCTAACACTGATTGTCCTTAAGGGCGAATCACAGTATCTTCTGCTAGCCTTGTGCTGGAACAGGAGCTACAGCCCAGACTATAGGGCTCTAACCACAGGGAGGAACACTGCTGACCTGACACCACCAGTGAGTTTCTTCCCTCTGTGGCCTGATCAGTCCCTGTAGTCCAGTGTGAGCCGAAGGGAACAGACTCAACAAACAACATTCCTTGGCTAAGAAAATGAATCTGACTCTCATCAAAACTAGTTTAGACAAGCTGCTGGGTGGAATGTAGAAAGAACTCCAATTAATATTTGGAGGTAGAAATCAACCTTCTTTTAGAGAAAAAGAGATTATCATCATTCTAATTTCCAGTTATGCATTTTGGAGATACACTGAT